AAATGCTCTAGAGAGCAGGAGGCTTCGCAGTACGTCCGTTGGCATTAGAGGCTTGACCTAATATCAGGGTAAAGTGAATGACGGTGAAGTTAGTGCTTCTTACTGGAAGAATATTATTACAAGAACAAATGGCCTTCCTAGTAAAATGTACATAATTGGATAGACAATTCACTAAACACTCAAGTTCTAAATTCATGAATAACAACGGTCTCAGGGAGGAAGACGGCCTGAGCAATTAAAGCATGTCAGTTCTCGTGCTCAAATCGAGCTGCGCGATCAAGAAGAGTCCTAAATTCTGCTTGCATCCACGCCTACATTTGCTCTGCTTATCATTAATTAAAGAAGTTACTTTCTTGATCATAAAGCCCACATACTTGTGATATAACAACACCTTATCGCATTGGCATCCATTTAGGTTCTTAACGACGTCTCATGCTCGTAATTAATCCATTTCTGTGATGCCGTTACAGGGAATGTCCGATAAAAAAACCTCGCTCTATATCCCTTTCACTGTGCTTTGCATTTCAATAAACCAACTTGCACGATATCAGCAAAAGTCGTGTTCACATCACGACCATGAAATATTTTATTTAGTGCTGAGAGGCGCCTCAATCCAGCTCGGAATTCAAGCTTCCTGCAAATAAGGTCGACACGCACAGCGCGAAATGACCTCTTAATATTCTCGATCATTAACGGCCTCATTGTGCTCGTTCGTTCGGTTTCTGTTAGCATTTTTCTCCATAATTGTTATACCGACTGATACTTTGACGGGCACCAAATCAATACTCATTTCCAAGCTGCTGGAATAGAGACAGAAGAACAAGTGTTGTTTGACCATCACCATCGCGACTGTAGTAATGATCGGTCCATGTTCTCCAATTGACGCCAGTCTGCTACGTAGCGAGTTTCTTTTGATATTCTCATAATCAGAAATTTCTTGATCGACTTTCAAAACCTCATTAATTGTCACGAGGGCTTGATTTCATTCTAAGGCAAGTCGGCAGTACAACCGTCGACTCCTCTTGACCAGGATAAACACGACTATTCATCTTGGATAAGGCAATTAAACTTTTCTTAATAGTAGTTACATTTTGCCACGCATTAATCGGTGTTTCAACGCTGAATGTATTTCTTAACATAAATACAAATTTTCAATATGTAGGATAATTCGTACAATTTTATTTCTTCATTTATTGAAATTATTCAATTCTATTTCAGCTATCGGAAAAATTGAGTTTTTAACTTGTTATTTAATCGGTGATTTATGGATAAAAAAATTACAAGACAAAGTGATGTGCGGGTGTTTAAATAGACCTCTTTTCGTATAAATTTGAATTATTGATATCTCGTGTGATTTTATGCTTTGCTCTACACAGCAATTGATTTGCTATTTCTCTGGCTTTCTTCTTCGTCCAATGGTAAATGTACGTCAGGTTAGGGTAACATGGGGCAGCGGGCCCCCCCTTGTTTAAATTAAATTTTTGATGAAGTTTTAATTGGTACGAGGTGGTTCTTTGTTCTTTTTTTCTCTAAAGTTACAACTAATGAGGACTGTGTGATGTGGATTAGACGCCTATAGATTTATTAAATATTAAATGAAACACTATTTTGTAAAACGTGTCATAATAGCCCCGTTGCCCCACCCCTGGGGCAATGGGCCCATGGGCTTGGGGCAAGGCGCCCACCCCTGGTCCCTTTATCACAATGGCATACTTTTAGCATATAAATGATGAAAGAACACTTCACAGTTCAAAATAAGAAAAATGTAATAAAAAAATATTACATTCTTAATTTATTATCAACTTAAAAAATCATATTCTTAACTTGAAAAAAATATTTTATGCTTTTACAAATATTTTGTAAAGAAAATTTTTGTGACTACAACCTTATAAAAATTGCAAGCCTCTCAGAGTTTCAAAGAGGTCAAATGGTTGGTGCCTGTATGCAAGGTGCTAGTGTAACAGAAACTTCCCGAATGCTTGACGTGTCTATGGGTAATGTAATGTAAGTAATGACTTCTTTCTTCTTTTCTTCTCTTTCCTTACAAAGTAATGACTTCAGTTTCGATAAAAAGGAAAAACTTCCTCAACAAAGCCAGAGGTAAAGTCGAAGTTTTGTGAGAGAGGCCGTCGGTCCCTAAAACAAATTATCAGGCATAATCAAAAGGCATCGGCTCTTAAATTATAGCAAACCAAATTGACACCTACAGAACTCAGTTTACCTAAAAACTGTTCGGTGGGAGCTGCACAGATCTTGATTCTAAGAAAAGACTGCAATTAGAAAAACTGTGGTCTCGAATGCAAATGCTTCAAAGCGTTCAGAGTGGTGCAGAAGCTTCAGAATTGGTCCCCTGAGCTGTGGAAAAATGTGATTTTCTTTCACGCATCACGGTTTACCTTATTTCCAACCTCTGGCCTAGTGCACGTTTGGAGAGGGTTAAAAAATGTCGAAAGAGGGTTAAACTGGGTTTAAATGAAATAGGGTTGAAGAGGGTTCAACTGATGAATGGGTTAAATTGTTTAGGAAACAATTCACAATATGTACTAATCAATATCTTGGAGACTTGAGGATGTAATTGCCGTAATATGTGGACCTACACCTGAATAAATAAATATGCTTTTACTGGGTGCTTGGTACAACGTTTACTTTGTGCTTGGTACAACTTTTGGGTTTCGATGTTCCCCTTATTTTGTCCCACTCTAGTACATCACTGGATCGCAATAAGCAAGACGACAGTCATAGGCTTGACTGCTCGCTGACTGCTTTAGATATCCTCTTCGTTGTCTCTACGAGTAACTGGTTGTCATACGGAACGGTGTAGCGGCGAACAGAGTATAGATTCTTGCGTTATAGTAACGATCGCACAGTAAAACTCAACAAAATTATTTGCGAGGGCGTGGCGTTTGCTGCTGCGGCGAGAGTTTACATTAGTTCCACCTTCGAACATTACATTAGATGGAAGGCGAAGACTTGACTCAGGTACCTCTTGAATAATTTGCTGTGATGATCTTTTACAGTGTCCTATCAATAATGGAAATTTCGTATGAGTATGGTAATTATCTTAGAATCTAAACCAACAGCGCCTTGGTTTGAGTCGAGCCAACTGCATGCGCGTTTTCCTTCGTGAATTAATGTTCATCCGATTAAACAAACAATCCACTAGTATCGTCATTATGTAGTGGCGCCCAATACTAACCAACTGACGATTCCTGGCCGATTCCAGCTATCTGTTTTCAAACTAACAAAATTGTCTGAACTTAGAGAAAATTTCCAGAGTCATTATCCGTTTAAATTTCCTTGTTGTAGCCTATTTACATGTATTATATACGTATGTCCACCAAAATTTCATTCTTCAATGCTTCTATAAACTTGTAAATGAATGTTGATAGATTCGAAACGTCGTTAAATGTATTATAAATTATTGCTTTGATCTATCGAAAGAATTTTGATTCCCTGCGAATTGGAAAATAATGAATTCTCAGATCATTATCCGTACGCGTTATATACTGCAGTGTACATTTATCAAAATGTCCATGGTATGTTGACTATCGTAAACTTGGATGCTATATCAGTAATTGAACTTATTATTAACATCTTAAGCGTTACAGTCGAGGTCGTCTATCCCTGTTCTTAACAGCGTATCGCTTCATCGGTCGGAACCCAGTGCGTTGGAACGGTATCTATGATACGGCGGAACGTCGTCCACAACAAGTGTTGTGGCTCTAAGCAACGCCTGGCAGTGCCGAGTTAACCTTTTAACCGAACTAACCCACTCCCCGAGTTGAACTAACACACCAGGTTAACTTAAGCTTAAGTTAGCTAAAAATGCTGTGGTGTTTCTGATACCATCTGCCGTACTGTGTGGAGTGTATGTCTACTCTCGCGAGGAAATCTTTGAAACACCGCGATGCTCAAACTAACTTTAAAAAACTACGCATTATGCGCTTCAAATATGCATAATGAAACATTCCGTTGCTTGGGTAATTAGAAAGAAATATCGCTCATACCCTAAAAAAAATTATCACTGTTGACGTTAAGTATTAATGTTACTATGTGGCGACTGTTGAATATAAATGTTGATTTTTGAAAAGAGATATTGTTTTGAGAGAATTATGAAATGTATTACAGATTAATTTTACACAATCGGTGAAAATATCGGATTGGTGAAAATATCACAATCGTCGTATATTGGAATTGAAGCAACGCATGGAGCCTCAACATTAGGAGCCTCTTTTAGAGCCTCAACGTTATTCATCACTGCTGACGCTGAACCCTTCATTGAACCTATGCACTGAGCCTCAAGTTACTGTCTAGTTTGACTCTACTCTGTGCAGAAATTTTTTTCCCTCATTATTTATTAATTAATTAACAAAATTAACAAGATCCAATGTACCGCGTCGGAAGTAGTCGTCCTCAAAATTCTGAGCCGGCCTAGCTTTGCCCGTCCATCAACTTTATTACAACGCTAAGCGAAATCCAACCTGAATGAAAATTTATTGTAATTATCATTAAGGCTATCCACCGATCAGTGAGGCTATAAGCCATTAACTTTTGTACGATATAGCAGGGGCGACTTTCATCGCTTAATTGGCAGATTTTCAGTCCTGGCTGTTTGATAGGCCGAGATCAGCCTTGAACACATGAGCATAGTTTATCGAATTTGAGAGAACGTTGAATAATTAATCAGAGTGCATTAGTGATGTCAAGTCAGCTTCTCCGCTTGTGTAATTAATAACTATATATACGTTTTACCGTCATAAACAATTGGACAAACGCAAGCAGAGATATGTGGGATATACGTTTTATGGCTGTACCTTATAGTGTTGCAGTTACAGTGTCACCTAGAAGGACATATATGTACGTCATCTTAGTGATGGTTGTGGTCATAGTGTCATCTTGTCCCTATAGTGTTATTCTGCTGACGTTCATACATAATATCTCTGGGCAGGGTAAGCACTGTCTCTTATACACATCTAGATGTGTATAAGAGACAGACGCTACACTAGCAACGCACGACACCAGCAACGCTACACTAGCAACGCACGACACCAGCAACGCTACACTAGCAACGCACGACACAAGCAAGAGTTGAACAAGATGCGGCTGCTGCTGCTGTGCCTGCTGGTGGTGGGCACCGCCTGGGGCACTCACCTGATGTACCGCGTGCACTTCAGAAATGCCTGCCTCTGCCCTGCGTTCATCAGGAGCTCACTACGCACCGGCAGCGCAGCCAGGGTACGTTTCAGTTAATTCAATTTTTTATCAATATTATGACAATTTCAATCAACATATTGGCAAATGCTAAAAAATTGCGGTTAAGGTTCTTGGTTTGAGTTTACATCAGCCATCTGAAAAACTCTTACGTGTCACTATTTCTAAATTTAAATTCCATGTATCGAAACCTTGTGAACTACATTTTCGCGAATCGTTCGTGGTCCAGTGTGCAACGTACGCGTCAGCAGAAAGTTCTCCCGCGTTTGTCTTCTGTGAGGGCGAGGCTGCGGACTGCAGCCTTGCGACCTCAAACTACACAGTGGGGACCTGGATATCTTCAGGGCAATCCTGCCTCTTGTACTCCAGCTACCCTCCGCCGCCTCCTCCACCACCACAGCCTCAGGTAAACACCTTTCCTGCCTTGGTTAAGAACCAACACCTGAGCTTAAGGCCTCATGTAAAAGTGATGAACTGCTTCGAGTGAACGCCTCAACCTCTGATAAACTCTCCATGTCTGCCTGATCGAAACCTCCCAAAGATACAAGCGTTTATTACCAATATAAAAAGAAGCTGTACGCTGTGGAAAACAGAATTAATATTCCAAAGTTTAAGCTATCTGGTGTTCAACGGCAAAACAGAATCCCTGTTTCAATTTTTCAAATGCAACGAAACCAGAAAACAGTATTGACATTTTTGCGAAAACAAAAACCACAAAAACTGATTGATCCGCCACGCTTGTATTCAGGGCACGAAGCTGTTCAAGCTGAGCGCGGCGACGACCAGCGCAAGAAGCATGACGTCACTGAGCGGTCAGGACCTCTGCGCGGCCGAAGGCCTCCAGCTGGCGGTTGTAACGTCTGCGGCTGAACAGCAGCAGGTCCATGACCAAGTGGGGGCTGGTGAGTCATGCTTCCTACATTGGTAATTGTATTATAGAATTAGCAGCCCGAACATTGAGTTTCAACAGAAATCGAGAATTTTCCGTGAGGACTAAAAACTGCCAAAAATTAACCTAAAATGGGCTTTAAACGCGGTTGAGGCAAAATCAAATTAATTTGCATGTGTTGTGGACGTAGCAGCCCCAGGCCACAATATAGAACGCAGTCTCTATATTCCACCTTTGCCCCGGCAGGCAGGTCTTCTTCGCAGCCACAGTCCTGGGTGTCTGCAATTACCGCGCATCTGCCCTCAGTTGGGCACTGCTGATGCATGATATTGTTACTTGCTTCATGCCACCAGTAGTGATGCAGAGGTGGACGATCAGTAACTGCTCAGAAGCTTCATTGGCAAGACGTTACACAACCTCGGTCTAATTCCTTCCAGCTGAAATAAAAATCTGACCACAGCACCGTTGCGTGATCAGGGTATCCTGCACAGTCTCCACCTTCATTATTTTTCATGATTATATTTTTATTATTTTCAGAAATTCTGCGGCGATGCTACAATATGTGCCTGGCTTGGTTCTGGCTTGACTCATCGCTCCACTGGGCGGATGGAAGTCTGCTCAACCAGTGCCAGGTTACAATTAAGAACCCAGGATCGACGCCCGCTTGCTTCTATCAAGATTATGGAACAACAGGGTTGTTTCGATACCCTTGCACAATTGAAGCTCTCCCTGTAGTCTGTCAGACTTACCAGTAAGTGGCGAGAACTTCATGAGCATCGGTTTCCAATTGGCAGTAGAACGGAGAGGATATTAGCAAGGGAGCAAATAGAAGATCGACTTGTTAAATGATGACCAAAGAGGATATGAACTTATGGGGTCGATGATTCACCGATAAACTTACGAGTGAATCATAAATGTCAATGCAACTCACGTGTCGGAGCTTCTCGCATGTCTATGCAATTTACATGCCACAGCCTCTCACCTGACTTTGTCAGTCACATGCAAGAGAAACTCAGATTACTGTGCCACGAACAGTCAGTATCACTGACATTCATGTCGTCAGACGCTGCTATAAACTGTAGAGCAAAACCATCTACAGGTTGTAACATCGCCTCTCGAGTACAGCCTCTTACATGGCATATCCACCGAGACACTAAGAGCCTTTTCACAAAAATCAACAATAAAAGTAGAGTTAGCAGCAACTTATTCATTTGTCCAAATTTTAAACCAATCCTTACTTCTTTTTCGTCTAATCCTCTCCTATTCTCATACTAAAAATAACTAACGGGTCAAGGCAATATCCGTACACGATAATTATCCTGGTTACATGCCTAAACAGCCCCTATATATAATATCCCTACACGATGGGTATCCTGAATACGCGCCCTAACAGCCCCTATATACAATATCCCGACGCGAAAAGTATCCTGGATATGCACCCCAACAGCCCTTATATATTATGTCGCCAAGCGTGAAACACACAAACTATGACAAATACCTATATAAGATACTGAAGACTACAATATAGCGAATTACGCAGTGTATAAATCTCTATGGTTGTTAATGTTGGTAGGAATTTCATTGCAAACGAATAGCCAACATGCATAAGTGAGCAAAATATGTTAACACTAAATAAAAGACATTTCTGAACTTCGCTAAAATCTCCGGACACTTAAATAACGTAGGTACGAGTGATAAGTACCTCATGATTGCTTTGCAGAGTCTTGAAGAGCACTTTTTGGGGGTGTGACGACAATACATTGTCTTCTGTTAGTGTGTTAAAAATACATTGTTACATTCCTCCAAATGGCGTATCTCAAAACGCTAATTCCTAATTCTTATCGATTTTTGTCAAACGAAGCGAGTACGCCCTTGAGTGTCCGGGTCAAACAAGAAATGACAGCTGACGAAGTAGAAGTAGTACTGCAAAACTGTGTTGCAATCTCCGGAATTAGTAGTGACGTGATGTAATGAAACGATGTAATAAATTGCGCTAGTATGGATAGGGAAATGTCATTTATATGTCAGTGCTTTGATACATGGAAAAATTTATCTCATTAAACCTTATTTGACCACTTAGGTGGCTAATTTAAGTGTCTGACGAACGTTCTAGGGCAAGAGTCTCTGATATGCTACGAGGGAAGAGCTGTGCCGTCCACAGCATTACCTCATTTGTTACCTTGAGGGAAGAAGTTGAAGCCTTGATGGCACCGACCGACCAATGATCATTTCTAGATACCTAAAAATATGGTTCTTACAAAACATGTTTGGTAGAAATGGAATGAGTTGGATAATTATTTCTATCACGAGTGATGTTAATTCACAGGGACAGTTTCACAAAATGTTAATGTTCGAAGAAAAAACGTTGTTTGGTTCACAGTTGCACACATCTTTCCGGGTTGATCATAAGCATATACTAAGTCTAAGATTCCACTTGCATGTGTCGCAACCTATCACAGGATATAGATATACATATATGTAGCATTGTTCTTCACACATTTCACCACACGGAAGATTCCTGTTTGTAGATGTACCTTTCATTATAGAGGTTTAGAGTGTATTATATTGTATTGTGCACGACGTTTCAGTATCAAATAAATTATAAATGTGATGATACAGAAAGCATGTTTCCTACCTTTGTAAAGCTCTCGTCAAAGAAAGTAATCGGAATGGAGGGAAAGTTCAAAGAAAATAAAAGGTGCGTAGGTACGCTATCTTAAGTAATGGATGGCTTCAAAATATGAAATCACGCCATATTAATGATTGGCTAAGTCATCGATGATTCCTAAATTTTTCTAGAACAAAAATAAAGAACAATTCCATCACCTCAGATACCGCCATAGTTGGCGCACGCAAAGCAGCGCGTGTTTTAGTTTATACATTTTTGCAAGGATTTGTTAATTTTGAAAGGATTTAATAATTTAGCAAAGATTTGATAATTTTGCAAGGATTTGTTAATTTTGAACGGTTTTATTAATTTTGCAAGGATTTAATAATTTTGCAAGGATTTTAAAGTGTTGCAATTATATGACAATTTTGCAATGAATTATTAATTTTGCAAGGATTTATTTATTATGTAAGGATTTAATAATTTTGCAAGGATTTAATAGTGTTGCAATTATTTGATAATTTTGCAAGGACTTATTAATTTAACAAGGATTTATTATTTTGCAGGGATTTATTAATTATGCAAGCGTTCATTAATTATGCAAGGAATCTGCACAGATCAATTATGTCGCCAAAAATAAGCTCCGATAACCATGGGGGCCATTAATAAAAAACTTCCGATTGATATTCAACATTTAACATTTCCGACAGAGAGACAACAAGAAGCATATGAGATGCGGCCAGTTCACATCTGAATCATCTCTAATCCGAGACTGACAACCGAAACCAGACCGTCTGCCGCGGCTAAATTTTGACAGGGTTGGAACCGATTGGCTGGTGAATAGTAAAAATTTTGTAATTAACATGAAGTAAAACAATTTAATATCAATTCAAATTATGTATATTATGTTCAAATTCTCATTTCGATTCATGTAAACATCGATTATAATTTACGAATTTTGCTCTTTTTAAGCTTAATTAATTATGGTAATTCGACCTGATGGCGACTCCTATTTTTTATCGAGATTTGGTCAATAAGTAATTTTTTGTACTGCACGACTCAACTACGAGGTTTTGATAACATCATCATATGTTATCGACTTTCTAACGAATAAGCGATCGTTCGTTGTTATTTTTCCACAAATGCTTGTGAATTGACACCCTCTTCACATCTGTCGTCCCTCTCCACACCTGTCGTCCCTCTTCACATCTGTCGTCCCTCTTCACACCTGTCGTCCCTCTGCACACCTGTCGTCCCTCTCCACGCCTGTCGTCCCTCTTCACGCCTGTCATCCCTCTTCACATCTGTCGTCCCTCTCCACACCAGTCGTCCCTCTTCACATCTGTCGTCCCTCTCCACACCTGTCGTCTCTCTTCACGCCTGTCGTCCTTCTTCACACCTGTCGTCCCTCTTCACGCCTGTCATCCCTTTTCACACCTGTCGTCCCTCTTCGCACCTGCCGTCCCTCTTCACACCTGTCGTCCCTCTTCGCACCTGCCGTCCCTCTTCACACCTGCCGTCCCTCTTCACACCTGTCGTCTCTCTTCACACCTGTCCCGCTAGTTGGGGCATTACCGGACGATTACACGTTACCTCGTGTGACAAAATATTAAATGAATTAAGAAGCTGCCGAGAAGCTCGTGTGACACCCCCGGGCAGCTGACAATAGCTTAACTATAGGGCTGAATACAGAGGGTAGCTGACTTGCATGTGACGTGCCTCTGAGGTGAAGTCAACTTAATTATCAACTGTTACTTCTAAACTGACCGCTAAAACCAATCCGAATTTTGTTAGGCCGTGTTATGACTCTCTGAACCGCCTGAGCTTTAAAAAATTAACTTCTACATTTTCGATATAATTCATGGAAATATAATTTCTTTTCTGTACGCTTCATCATCGTCAGATGGCGCCGAATATTCGAGTAAGGGAAAACGCCCGAAGGGTGTACGCCTCATGCTCTATAATAATTCAAATGAATTTATCGTATGGAGTGAAATTTAATCGATAGAGCTCACACCTCAGACAACTCTTTAGATTAATGATTTTTGCATGACATCTTCAATTTGAATCATGTTTGCTGTATTATCAGAACGATGTACTACACTGACAGAAAATTGACCGCTGTTTTGAGACACTTAAGTGTCTCAAGGCCTCTCCGATCGAGCGTGCCAAAAGCGAGGCACCTACGGCCGCCCAAGTGTCTCAAAAACGTTAAAGTGTCTCAAAATCTGACACCTATGTGTCTCAAAATTTATTTTCTCAATAAATCTACGGTAATTGCAACCACTCTTTCAGAAGTATTACAATATTGTCGTAGCATACATATCCGTTTTACATTTATCAGCGCACACTTGAAGCAGTTCCTACTACCGACATCTTAAATGAAAATTTTCGATAATTTTATTGGAAGGTTATCAATAAAAATTATTTATAATGCAAATACTAGATTTTATTCAGTTCGACATAATACATGGGACACTTAAAAAAGCTAATAAATTATTTTCACCTGTGAAAAAAAATGACGAACAAGACCGATAATTATTTGCGTATGCTGCATCTGACTGTCAAATTAGGCGAAGGAAAATACAAATAGAAAACACAGCTAGACGGCAGTAATTAGCATAACGGAAGAATAGTTGATAAGTAGAACGAAAAACCCCACCGTCGAGTGAAACAACACCCAACCGTCGAGGGAGAGGAAACCACAATATCGAGGAAGAGGACACCATACCGTCGAGGGGAGGACACCTTACCATCGACTGAGAGGACACCACACCGTCGAGTGAGAGGACACCACACCGTCGAGGGAGAGGACACCATACCGTCGAGGAAGAGGACGCCATACAGTCGAGGAGAGGACACCACACCGTCGAGTGAGAGGACACCATACCGTCTGTCTCTTATACACATCTAGATGTGTATAAGAGACAGGGTACAGTACAGGTACAGTACAGGTACAGTACAGGTACAGTACAGGTACAGTACAGGTACAGTACAGGTACAGTACAGGTACAGTACAGGTACAGTACAGGTACANTTTTTAATATATAAAAGAAATTAATTTTTCAAAATTATTTATTCTGTCAATTGATGCATGCATTATCTTCGACTTTACGCAAGTCTGCAAAATGTCAGATAGATTGGACAGCTATATAGAAATGTGTTAAATATCGAATATAAGATTTGTAGCAGACAAAATTAATTTTTCAGTTTTTTTAATATGAAAAAAAAATTAACTTTTCAAAGTGTTTAGTCTGTCAATTGATTCATGCATTGTCTCCAACTTTAAACAAGTGTGCAAAATTTCAGATCGATTGGAGAGGTAGAAGTGTGTTAACTATTGATTACAAGATTTGAAGCAGACAGAAAAACAAAGACAAACAAGAAGTGAAGTTAAAGAGAAGTGTTGTAAAAAATATTAGCAATTTATGCTATTAAGTGTCAAAGAGATTCTGGTGACACTCCTGAAATTTTTATGATAGCAAAGAAAGTATCAGAAAACTAACCTGCTTATAAAAGCTGATCATGGAGTATGATGCAAAGTGTTCTTTTGTGTATGATGCAACCTCTTCTATTCTGCTATAAGCCCTCAAGTTCCTGAAATAGTACAATGGCAATAATTAAACATACTATAATAACTATATCCAATTTACAGAAAATAAATCAAGTTGTATTATTAATATCACCATAAATTATTACTTATCACTTGGGTTATTAATTTCTACAAAGGCAATTCTGGCAAAGAATACCTAGCTCACCTTACGGCTTACATCATCAAAAATTCCCTTTTGGATGCCATTTTGCCATCTGATTCTCTTCATTTGGCCTCTTCTTGCCTGAACATGCCGTCAAGTTCCTGCAACAGTAGAAAGGCAATAATTTAACATATTACCTTGAAGAAATTCAGTTGTATTATCATCAACGGGTAATAAGGGACAGTTTTGAGCGTTTTTTGTTAATAACTTCTTACCATGAAACATTTTAAACTTTACAGTTTACACCACTGTTTCTAGTTTTTCAATATTTTAATTAGTTCAGCTGCTCCATTTATACAAAATTTCAGAGGACGGTCCCTTATTTAGTTATTATCCTGCCCGTCCCTCATTGCCCCCTTTGATAGATTCATCTCGTGAAAAAGTATCACTGAAACCTTGGTCCTTGGGTTAATAATTTTCAAGAAAACTATTCTGGCAAGAAAAGCTAGCTCACCTTTCATCTTAAAAAATTCTTTGGAGCACTAAACATTTCTATAAACAAAAAATAAACAGGAGCAGTCTGTAAATTCACTCAAAGTCCAGCAGCCAGCAGACTTACCTCTGTTTAATGGAAAAGACTTGTTCCTTTTGACTTGACCACAGGACTTTTAACCCAATTAACTTGAAAAAATTTTGTTTTTGAAGACTCTTCACTTGGACATTGTTTTTAAATGCCACAAGATGTATATAACTGAGGCTGCAGCAACAATCCACTTTGAACTTCGCGGCCATCTGTTCACAGTTCACACAGCTCAACGTCTTATGGTTCTTTGTTTTCCGCACTTTCTTTTTGAAAAAATTTTGGTGTGTTGATGTTATATACATGGTTTCTTAGAGTTGTAACGTTCACACAACCCTCGACCTCACTTCGAAAGTTCGAACATGAAAATTCGGCAAGTGGCAATGCTAACTCGAAGTCTCGAATATTTGAAGAGCAACGATAACTTCGCGAAATTCAGTTTCAAAAAGCACAAACTGCAGTGATATGACGAGATTAAACTTGTTGAAGACATTTTTAAATGTATAGCAAATCTGCAGACGGTTTGCAAGGAAATGTAGAGAAAAATGGGTAATTATCACACGAGAAACAAGGATAATCGACAGCTATACTGCTGAGCTATGGCGCGTACTGGCCAACGCCTTTGAACGAACACACGAACGCACGCGCGTTCGTTACACTTGGGTTACAAACGCGTTACGTTTCTAATTGAGCAGCAATGAAAATGAGTTTTTCACTCGGTTTGCTTATTTTTTCAATAGTTTTTAGCAAAATTATATATATAAAAAGTATTATAAGCATTTCTCATGGGCAAATTTACTAATGATTAGAAGATGCATTGCAATTCCTTCATAGTTGAGAGTTAAGTTGAGACACATACTAAGTGTCTCACTTCCTGAGACGCCCACAGGGCCGAAATTTTCTCTCTGTGTACGACCCGAATTCGGTTAATTTTGGATAAATATTGGAGGTAAGGAACAGATAAAACGTCAAAATTTAATGTATTTACATTTTCATCCGGTTTAAGAACTCATGCGCAACTATCAAGGGGAAATTTTGGTTACTGCAAGTCATGAAACATTGCTTCTCGTACGAGGATTCATCTCCAGCCTAACTTACTGTATTGCTATCGAAAGGCACGCTTCCCTATTGAATCCGTTGTCAATCCCCTCAATTCTAGTTAAACGTTATGATTATGATCTGAAATGAACTTTTTTTCTCGGAGTTATCTATAAATGTGCCACCGTAAAAATTTCGAGAAGCCTACTTTTTTCTATATTAAATTAGCTGATATGTTGAATCTAATCGAGATGACAGAGTCAGTTAAACTTAGCACGTCTGTAAGCTCGTATTACTGGTCACAGGTTCACTGATCAAAACTGATGGAATCCATTTTGTTGCAGGCAAATGTTGAATGCAGCTAAACACGACTATAACTTTGCCCGCGAAGCAGTCGAGGCCCCAGAGGAATCGGGTGAAGTCTCTCAAGTTTCACGGCATTGACGCAGGTGGGACCTGATATGCTGTCAAATTTCTGCTCATTGCACCACACGATGATTGCTAATAAAGGTGAGAAATCAAATGGACGCCTAAGTTTGCATCTCTACTTCATGATGAAGGGACTTTTTCCTAGTTGCGCTGCGTGCAGCATGGCGGATGCTGTCCCATACTCCCATTGTCACACGACCTAACTAAGGTGCTTGCTCGTACATGTTCAAAGACGACGCTATCTTAAAGCCTCAAGGCACTACTATACAGATGTCAGAGAACGATGCATCGCAGGTAGCATTTTGCCAGGCACAAGTTGTACAAAAGATACAAAAAGAATATTTTTTAGGGCAAATGCCGAGACATTTCTGTCAATTTATAACCGGCATAACTGGAGGTTTTTTTCTATTTCTTAGTATTATTTGAACTTTTTGATCGAAGTTCTTACATAAATTTGAAGTATGAATTTACTTTCCTTTGAAGTATGAATTTCATAGAAAATATCTTCATGTCGTCTATTTGCATAAAAGTGTTTTCTTACTTAACTTCTATCCAGGAAACAAGCTGATACACTTTTATTCTTCAGGGGAGTCTAGCAAACTGTTGTGCCTAGTCTACGTGTCCAGCTGTGTCGACGTTTACCTCAGCAGTGGAAAGCCGCAGCGAAAACTTCGCGCTTAAAACCAGAGATTGTTCAGTGAAACTTGCTGGATTAACGGAAACAGCCACAACGCATCACCGACCCACTCAGAAAACATTACAAGTTATCATGGTGTGTCATGCGTGCAGCATTTAGTATGGTGATTTTGTATACTATTTCCCCTTGAAATTAACTTTTCAACTATTATCAATTTCCGTTCTGAGATGATGAGTTTCATGCATTGAGTACTGAAGTACTTATTTTTGAAATGTCAAACTAGTTTAGAGTTCCACTTAACGTATTTGACTACTGATTACTAAGTTAGATTCTCAAGTATTGTGGTGCTTATCATTTACAATTTATACGAGATGATGTTATCCTCTAGCTGACGCCGTTGTAAAAACGAGAAATAAGCTTGTATGTATATTTTGAAAATAATGAAGGGGCTACATTATCGTACGTAATCGTGTATTCTAAAATATAGTTATACCAGTTTTGGAATAGATTTCCTAATTTAGTTTGAATGTTTATATGCACTTGAGGTTCTAATAAACGGCCCGAACATGTAAATCTTTTTATTCCTGTCATAATTTGTTATACTTGTTCCTACCTCATATCTCAGAATGACTGCATTAAAATTCGCTTTATAATTTTGTATGTGTTCGTTGTTACATAATTCCCCATGCCCTCCACAATTATTATATATAGCTCCACAAAGTAGGGGAGCTATATATATAGTGGAGGGCGTAGGTATTTTTTTGGCTCGAAATTCACGTTCGGCCACCTCTGGCCTGCGGGAATTTTGCGCGACGGTCCCGCCAATCGCGGCAACCACCTTCGCGATAGCGCGGAAGCTGGCAGTGCCTGCCGGCCTGGTCGCTCGCGGTAGGACAGACTGACTGCGGCAGCAGGCCCTTTCCAGGCCGAGNCAGCTAATATTGGCGGCCATCGTCAGCCTGGACCGCCAACAGAAGATTGGCGCCCATTGACCTGGAACAGAGCCTGGCGGTGCAGCATTGGCTGGCGCTGGCGGGTCTCCACTGCCAATGGGCGCCGAGTTCTCCGGGGGTATACATGTACATCAATGTTGAATAATTTAAAATTAAATACTCTGGTCATTTCGCGTAGGAATCTACTATACCTTAATTGTTATTTGTTTGTGCGATTCCAAAACAGAGGTACGTGGCTCTTTTAGTCGTGTTTATTTTTAGTGTTAACAGTGCAATGGTGTTCAAGATTTAGTGAAGTTTTATTGACGTTCTAGCGAATATGTGTAGTTATATTTATTCATGTGTCTTGTGTCATCATATCATCCGTTCTATATTTCTGTGTTTATTATATAGTTTATTTATTTTTTTAGCTCTAATTTTGTGTTTTCGTTTTGTATGTGTAGACAGACTCCGAAATAAAGACTTAAGCAGATTTTAATTGAAAATAGTTAGTCGGCCTAAAGAAAGCGCACGGTTTTGTTTTGTTTATCTCTTGCTTTGTATTCATTGATGGCTTGTGTCGATTTTTATCTTTTGCTCATTTATTCAGTTTTATTCATCCTTCTCAATTACAATGATTATTACAACACGATCATAAGTAAATGTCTGGGGCCACTGACGGCTTTATTTCTATATCATTTATTTATTGAATAGGCCCGACAGCATTAAAGTTTATTAATGTTATTAATTTAAAATTGAATATTCCTCAAACTGCTGAATTGTAACGGAGCTTTGAAACTGTAGAATATTTATACTTTCTGAAACGCCAATTTATCAATGGCTGCATTTGTACGTGAACGAAAGCAATATCCTATTTAATGCAGAAAAATGGCGTACATATAAATTTACAGGGACTTGCTCCCTGTTGATTATTATACTGAATATATTTTATTTGTGATAACTATTCACGAATTTCACACACATATTTTGCCTATACAACTCAAACTGTTGAATAAGTAGTATAACTGTTGAATAAGTAGAAGCTTCAATAGTTGAACAAGAAAAATTATTAATTGTTTAAAATTGTGAATTTTTTGATAAAAATTTCATCAATACTGCGCTGCTGATGCTATGGCGCTCATTTTCCTACTTCCAGAACTGGGCAGCACTACTTTGAAATGTAGCGGCCGCTACCGCTACCGCTACATGCTATAAATGTAGCGGCCGCTACCGCTACCGCTACATGTTCTAAATGTAGCGGCCGCTACCGCTACCGCTACATGTTCTAAATGTAGCGGCCGCTACCGCTACCGCTACATGCTATAAATGTAGCGGGCGCTACCGCTACCGCTACACCCACTAGATTGTAGCGGGTGCTACCGCTATAGCTACTGAAAATGCAGCGGCCGCTACATGTAGCGCGCTACAGCCCACCTCTGTCAACTTCATTATACCGAAAAACACCACGCGAATTTCAATGCCAACACGGCAATACTGTAAGGGGACTAAACACCACTGACTAAAACCTTTAGTTGTGTTAATTTCTTGGTGGCAGTCATATCCGTGTTTTTTAAGCGATGTATTTATCAACGTTTTATTGAATATTGTTATTTATATTATTCCTTAATTTATTTTACGCCATCCTAGTTTTATTTCTAGTTTATTCGTTCATTTATTTTGCTGGTTCTAAATTCGTGTTTACATTTCGTATATGTGCAGAAAGGTTCCGGAATAAGGACGTGAATAAATCATCACTATGAATAGATAGTTGGACTGAAGAAATAGATAGTTGGCCTGAAGAAATAGATAGTTGACCAGAAGAAATAGCTAGTTTACCTGAAGAAATAGATAAATGGCCTGAAGAAATAGACAGTTGGCCTGGAGAAATAGATAGTTGGACTGAAGAAATAGAAAGTTGGTCTGAAGAAATAGATAGTTGGCCTGAAGAAATAGAAAGTTGTTCTGAAGAAATAGATAGTTGGATTGAAGAAATAGAAAGTTGTTCTGAAGAAATAGATAGTTGGATTGAAGAAATAGATAGTTGGACTGAAGAAATAGATAGTTGGACTGAAGAAATAGACAGTTGGTCTGAAGAAATAGATAGTTGTTCGGAAGAAATAGATAGTTGGTCTGAAGAAATAGGGAGTTGGCCTGAAAAAAAAATAGAAAAAGGCTTAAAGAAATAGATAGTTGGCCTGTAGAAAAAGATGTTGTTTATGTGTACCTAATGATAACTTGTTTCACTTATTATTTCGCTTTATTTATTTGGCTTTAGTCATCCTTCTTTAAATGGCGATACCGATTTCAATTTAATTAAATGGCGCGATATCGATTTTGCCTGACGATCACACGGAAACGTCTGGGGCCACTGACGGTGGCCCATACACTGTCCCCGGCAATGCAAACAAACATCTTGCGAATTTCATTTCAACACGGCAATGCAAATGAACAGTGCAAACACGGCAATGGAAACAAACATCTTGCGAATTCCAGTTCAAACACGGCAATGCAAAGGAAAATTTTGTGATTTTCAGTGCAAACACTGCAATGCAAACAAACATCTTGCGGATATCAGTGCAGACACGGCAATGCAAACAAACAAATTTCCCTGCAAACACTTAAGTTTACAGTGTAAATATCGTTATTTTTCACTCGTTCAAGTCGTTACATATAATTCACAAAGTTATCAATATTCATTGCTTCAAATTGCTGTATAATATTATAAGTACAAATAACCTATACTTAATATTGGATGAAGAGCTGCGAGAGTCGCGTCCTGGGCATGCAAGTCCACCACAACTTGACGGACGGTCGCCATCGCGGAGCTTATGACTATTTAATGTCAACATTTATTAACTTTGATTTCCTAACTTTCTTTTCACTCACATTTTCCGTACTATCATGTATGCATATACCACGCCGTGCACTGTACCACGTAAGGGCCTTCATTCACTTTGCTTTCAAACTTTTGAATTTATTAAAAAATTGCAAAATTCTTAATCACTTAATATTTTACGACATCGACGATCGCAGAGAATTTGTGGACCTTATAAGACCTCCGATGACTTCACGACCTCCGTGGACTTTAGGACCACAGTGGACTTTACGACCACAGTGGACCTAACGAGCCCATCACATAAGAGGCTCAGTTGAGCCCTTCGTTCAACCCCTTCCACAGATCTTTACGACGCATCTATGAAGCCTTTCATTCAATCCTTGATAAGATTCTTGAATCAGACCTTAAGCTTGCCATTCAACCCACCGACGTCCAACCCACCGACGTCCAACCCTCCGACGTCCAACCCTCCGACGTCCAACCCACCGACGTCCAACCTACTGACGTCCAACCCACCGACGTCCAACCCACCGCCGTCCAACCCACCGCCGTCCAACCCACCGCCGTCCAACCCACCGACGTCCAACCCACCGACGTCCAACCCACCGACGTCCAACCCACCGACGTCCAACCCACCGACGTCCAACCCACCGACGTCCAACCCACTGACGTCAAATTGTCATGAAAATAACGCGACCTGTAATGTAAATATTGGCAGGAAAGTTATATTATAAGAAAATATTTATTGGCCATACGTCAGTTATTTCAAATACGTCAATATACGTCCATTTGACGTATAACGGTAAATGAACAAAACCTGCAGAACATTTGCAGAAAACCTGCAGTCAGTTATTTCCATTTATCCTTCAGCCGAAAATGCGATTGAGTGATGACTCCTTTACACTGCACCACTTCTTGTGGCATCATTCTAATGGCAAGCCTGCTGCTGTATCCCTCACTCTCCTCTTGCCCTCCTGCTTCTCTTTACCCTAACAACTTACAATCATCGCTATTAAGCTATCATTTCGATATTATCATATTCGTGATAATATCAACAATCGATCAACCTCTTTAAGCACATTTGCAGCAAATCAGTTCCCTCGTGAAAGAAAAAAAAATACTTCGAGCTCACGGCGGCGGCGCCTTGCAGAAGCCTCAGTGTGTCGCACGACGTGAGAGGGAATATATGTCACGTGTCCTGCTGTGCAGGACACGTGACAGCAGTGACAGCATCACTGTAATCAAATTCATTAGCTGTGTTGTGTAATTAAATTCATAAGCTGTGTTGTATAATTAAATTCATTAGCTGTGTCGACAATGCTGCTCATGTAGTCATAGTTGTGTTCAGTATATTAAATTCTCGAGAGACATGTACGCTCAGCTGTGATGATCACGTGGCAGCTTCATGGCGCATGAGTTCTATTCACGTCGAGTGCGGCGCGACTCACCGGCGGGCTGCAGGGCCTTTCTCCGGACAATTGCCGTAATTTGTTTTTTTTTTTCAATTGTGCTTGTCGACAAAAATTTGTGATGGCATTACTATACCTCATTAAATTTTTAAATGTGCGGATGAAAGGAAAATTTAATTTTAGCTCCGGAACCTACAAGTTTACTAGTATATAGTATATTAAAAATTATGTGCCATTTTATCCGCGGACTTGGCCGTTTTTAGGCCATCTGCCAGCGCTGGTGGGTCGTGCAGCAATTAACGTGTTAATTCTACTTTGTTTCTTTAGAACGTGAAGAGGTGCACATACCAAACTGGAAAATCGGGCAACATCCACTCGGTTATGTTACAAAAACTGCTGTGCTCCCGGACAATTTCACCCGTTCCTGTGGCCTTCCGCCCCTTGCCTAATTCCTTCTGCAAAAACTATGATGAGTAGTGTATTTTGCCCGCCATTTCAGGGCAAACGCTCGTGAAACGCTCGTTTGCCCACTAATATTCTGCTCATTATTCCAGACTGATGCACAAACCACACACATCATATTGGTTGAACAAAGTTGAAACTAGACATTCAAATTTATATCAGCTTTGTTTTGTAACTAAGCAAATTATCAGAAAGGATCGATCTTGAAAATATGAAACATTATTTATAGGATTCTGTAATTACCCTTAGTATGAGAACCACTGCACAGTGCAAAAGTTGCCCATGCTGCATCATGACCGGAATAATATTGTTCCAAACAGCTGTACACACTGACAGAAAATTGACCGCTGTTTTGAGACACTTAGGTGTCTCAAGTCCTCTCCGATCGAGCGTGCCGAAAGCGAGACACCTACGGCCGCCCAAGTGTCTCAAAAACGTCAAAGTGTCTAAAAATCTGAGATTTTGAGACACCTATGTGTCTCAAAATTTTCTAAAAAAATTTGTTCATTTTCTCAATAAATCTACGGCAATCGCAACCACTCTTTCAGAAGTATTACAATATTGTCGTAGCATACATATCCTTTCTACATTTATCAGCGCACACTTGAATCAGTTCCTACTACCGACATCACCAATGAAAATTTTCGATACTTTTAGTAGACACCGTCGAGGGGAGGACACCATACCGTCGAGTGAAAGGACACCACACCGTCGAGGAGAGGACACCACACCACATCGTCGAGGAGAGGACACCACACCGTCGAGGAGAGGACACCATACCGTCGAGGAGAGGACACCAAACCCTCGAGTGAGAGGACACCATACCGTCGAGGAGAGGACACCACACCGTCGAGGAGAGGACACCATACCGTCGAGGAGAGGACACCACACCCTCGAGTGAGAGGACACCATACCGTCGAGGGGAGGACACCACACCGTCGAGGGGAGGACACCATACCGTCGAGTGAAAGGACACCACACCGTCGAGGAGAGGACACCACACCGTCGAGGAGAGGACACCATACCGTCGATGAGAGGACACCACACCGTCGAGGAGAGGACACCATACCGTCGAGGAGAGGACACCACACCCTCGAGTGAGAGGACACCATACCGTCGAGGAGAGGACACAACACCGTCGAGGGCGAGGATATCACACCGTCGAGGGCGAGGACATCACAACGTCGAGGGCGAGGACATCACACCGTCGAGGCCGAGGACATCACATCGTCGAGGGCGAGGACATCACACCGACGAGGGTGGAGACAGGCTCCAGTATCCAGGTTCTGATCAGGACAGCATCTGAAAAATTTGAAGATGGTCATAATCCGCAAGAGGAATGAATGATGATCATAAAATTTTAACCTTAGCCTGCAAATACTGTTATCACTGTTTCACAGAAATGAAGATATAATAAAATCCTCCACACTATTCCACAAAAAGAATTGAAATTGAATTTCATGGGAATCAAGAGCTTTATTTAAAGTGCGTGAAAAAAACTTAATAATATACGTTTAAAAATTAATTTTAAAGACAACACTTCTAAAAAATCCGGTGTTTCCAATGTAAAACATTTACAATGATTTTCTAATTTTAATTTCGAATATAAAAAAAATTAATTTTCAAATTATTTTAATACACAAATTTCACAAAAGAAATTAAATTTTCAAAATTATTTATTCTGTCAATTGATTCATGCATTGTCTCCGACTTTACACAAGTCTGCAAAATTTCAGATAGATTGGACAGCTAGAAGTGTATTAAATATCGATTGTAAGATTTGTAGCAGACAATTATTTTTTTAATTTTTGAATATTAAAAAAATTGTTTTTGAAATTATTTATTCTGTCAATTGATTCATGCATTGTCTCCAACTTTATGCAAGTGTGCAAAGTTTTAGAGCGATTGAAGAAGTAGACGTGTGTTAAAAATTGATTATAAGATTTGTAGCAGACAGACAAATAGACAAACAAGAAGTGAAGTTGAAGAGAAGTGTTGTAAAATATGCATTTAAAAATTACTTTTTAAAGACAACACTTCTGAAGAATCCAGTGTCTCTGGTGATACACATGTACAATGAATTTCTAATTTTATTATGAAATATTAAAAAAATAATTTTTTAATTTTATTTTTAAATTGAAAAAACTAAAATTTTTTAAAATTATTTAGTCTGTCAATTGATTCATGCATTGTCTCCAACTTTAAACAAGTGTGCAAAATTTCAGATCGATTGGAGAGGTAGAAGTGTGTTAACTATTGATTACAAGATTTGAAACAGACAGAAAAACAAAGACAAGCTAGAAGTGAAGTTAAAGAGAAGTGTTGTAAAAAATATTAGCAATTTCTGCTATTAAGCGTCAAAGAGATTCTGGTGACACTCCTGAAATTTTTATGATAGCAAAGAAAGTATCAGAAAACTAACCTGCTTATAAAAGCTGATCATGGAGTATGATGCAAAGTGTTCTTTTGTGTATGATGCAACCTCTTCTTTTCTGCTATAAGCCCTCAAGTTCCTGAAATAGTACAATGGCAATAATTAAACATACTATAATAACTATATCCAATTTACTGAAAATAAATCAAGTTGTATTATTAATATCACCATAAATTATTACTTATCACTTGGATTATTAATTTCTACGAAATCAATTCTGGCAAAGAATACCTAGCTCACCTTACATCATCAAAAATTCCCTTTTGGATGCCATTTTGCCATCTGATTCTCTTCATTTGGCCTCTTCTTGCCTGAACATGCCATCAAGTTCCTGCAACAGTAGAATGGCAATAATTTAACTTATTACCTTAAAGAAATTCAGTTGTATTATCATCAACGGGTAATAAGGGACAGTTTTGAGCGTTTTTTGTTAATAACTTCTTACCATGAAACATTTTAAACTTTTCACCACTGTTTCTAGTTTTTCAATATTTTAATTAGTTCAGCTGCTCCATTTATACAAAATTTCAGAGGACGGTCCCTTATTTAGTTATTATCCTGCCCGTCCCTCATTGCCCCCTTTGATAGATTCATCTCGTGAAAAAGTATCACTGAAACCTTGGTCCTTGGGTTAATAATTTTCAAGAAAACTATTCTGGCAAGAAAAGCTAGCACACCTTTCATCTTAAAAAATTCTTTGGAGCACTAAACATTTCTATAAACAAAAAATAAACAGCAGTCTGTAAATTCACTCAAAGTCCAGCAGTCAGCAGACTTACCTCTGTTTAATGGAAAAGACTTGTTCCTTTTGACTTGACCACAGGACTTTTACCCCAATCGACTTGAAAAGTTTTTGTTTTTGAAGACTCTTCACTTGGACATTGTTTTTAAATGCCACAAGATGTATACCTATAACTGAGGCTGCAGCAACAATCCACTTTGAACTTCGCGGCCATCTGTTCACACAGCTCAACGTCTTATGGATCTTTGTTTTCCGCACTTTCTTTTTGAAAAAGTTTTTGTGTGTTGATGTTATATACATGGTTTCTTAGAGTTGTAACGTTCACACAACCCTCGACCTCACTTCGAAAGTTCGATTATGAAAATTCGGCAAGTGGCAATGCTAACTCGAAGTCTCGAATATTTGAAGTGCAACGATAACTTCGCGAAATTCAGTTTCAAAAAGCACAAACTGCAGTGATATGACGAGATTAAACTTGTTGAAGACATTTTTAAATGTATAGCAAATCTGCAGACGGTTTGCAAGAAAATGTAGAGAAAAATGGGTGATTATCACACGAGAAACAAGGATAATCAACAGCTATACTTCTCAGCTATGGCGCGTTACTGGCCAACGCCTTTGAACGAACACACGAACGCACGCGCGTTCGTTACACTTGGGTTACAAACGCGTTACGTTTCTAATTGAGCAGCAATGAAAATGAGTTTTTCACTCGGTTTGCTTATTTTTTCAATAATTTTTAGCAAAATTATATATATATAAAAAGTATTATAAGCATTTCTCATGGGCAAATTTACTAATGACTAGAAGATGCATTGCAATCCCTTCATAGTTGAGAGTTAAGTTGAGACACATACTAAATGTCTCACTTCCTGAGACGCCCACGGGGCCGAAATTTTCTCTCTGTGCAGGCTGTTTGATTAAAACCTTCGTAAAGATCATTATTATTAGCTGCATACGGGACGGTTGGGAGCTCCTGAAATGGCCTAATATTGGTCGTTGCGTCAGCCATTCCATTAGCTAACTAGTCTAACCAAGAGGCAATTGCAGCCACACTCACAGATAAATCCCGGGCTCTGGGTACATTTTTGCTGGATTTTCAGCCGTTTAGTAGGCCTGAAAAAATGTGAAAGTCTCAGGGGAAAGCAACTGAAACCGCAGGTGCATAATTATTAACATCCTGGCCATTAAAAATGTTTATATATTCAAGATAATCAAAAATATATATATATATATATTCATATATATTCAAGTCAAAGCATCTATAATCAATGGAACTATGGCTGAGAGCCTCCTCAGTGAAGTAATTTCAAAGCAATTGCAGCCACACGTTCGCATGGACGAACGCCTAAATTATAGCAGTCAAAAGGCTGACGAAAACAAATTCCAAGCCACTGCTAGAAGAATTCATGGCAAAGTATTGCCAATTCAGAACTCTTTCGCAGCCGCTGGGCTACAACGCCGTAGGCTTTAACGAATGTTAGTCCTTAGCTTCGTGAAATGGGTCAGCATGCTAGGGAAGTTGTCTTTAATCCCGCCGAAGTTTTCTAAACAAAGGGCAATTGAACGAAAAGTCCTCAAATTGTTATTTTTTCGATGTTTTGCACCAAAACCAACCAAACTTGTTCTGATGGCAGCGTTGGCTAAAGAAAACGCGATAAGGGATTGAGTAAGAAGCTGTTTATAATTGCGGAATGCTCTCCGCATCATCTTTTCAGCAAATAACTTATACGTTTATGTCTAACCTAATACGATTTTTATGCCCATAGCAATAATTTTAGATATATTTTCTCATCATTTACTGTACAATTTATTCAGGTTTTCAGCTCGAAGATAATAATGTCCCTGGCAAACCAGAATTATTTCCTGACTGGTGGACTGTCTCAAGAAAACAGGCGCAGATCAGGAGCTGACGCAGTAAACCAGAACTGTCGCCATCCTTTTTTTTTGACGTCCAACCCTCTGAAGTCCAACCCAACGACGTCAAACCCTCCGACGTCCAACCCACTGACGTCCAACCGTCCGACGTCCAACCCTCTGACGTCCAACCGTCCGACGTCACTCTCTCTGACGTCCAATCCAACGACGTCCAACCCACCGACGTCCAACCCACCGCCGTCCAACCGTCGGACGTCCAACCCACTGACGTCCAACCGTCCGACGTCACTCTCTCTGACGTCCAATCCAACGACGTCCAACCCTCCGACGTCCAACCCACCGACGTCCAACCCACTGACGTNAAACCAGGATTGTCACCTGCCTGCTGGATTGTCTCAAGATAACAGGCGCAGATCAGGAGCTGACGCAGTAAACCAGGATTGTCACCTGCCTGCTGGATTGTCTCAAGATAACAGGCGCAGATCAGGAGCTGACGCAGTAAACCAGGATTGTCACCTGCCTGCTGGATTGTCTCAAGATAACAGGCGCAGATCAGGAGCTGACGCAGTAAACCAGGATTGTCACCTGCCTGCTGGATTGTCTCAAGATAACAGGCGCAGATCAGGAGCTGACGCAGTAAACCAGGATTGTCACCTGCCTGCTGGATTGTCTCAAGATAACAGGCGCAGATCAGGAGCTGACGCAGTAAACCAGGATTGTCACCTGCCTGCTGGATTGTCTCAAGATAACAGGCGCAGATCAGGAGCTGACGCAGTAAACCAGGATTGTCACCTGCCTGCTGGATTGTCTCAAGATAACAGGCACAGATCAGGAGCTGACGCAGTAAACCAGGATTGTCACCTGCCTGCTGGATTGTCTCAAGATAACAGGCGCAGATCAGGAGCTGACGCTGGCTGTAGCATGGTAAGCATTTTTGTAAAATTCTCAAAAAGCTGTATAAGATATTTAAGTTAGCATCTTGCACGTCTTCCTATGGCACTTTTTGTGTAACTTAATATCATGGCTGCATTCCTTTAGCTGTTCCCACCTAAGGGTTTCAAGTTAGCTTATACAAACTCAAGGGTGTTACCACTACGTAAATTTTTCGTCAGCTGCAAAACTACTCATGGCACCAACTTTTTATGCCGATTGTTCTGCTTTTTCTCACTTCATGCTTCAACAACATGACTTGTTCCTATCATCTGTTTCAGAGAGCTCTGTTTTGGAGCGTGTTGGTTCTGTTTGTCGCCTATTATTTCATGAGCGGGAACAACCCCGTCACCAACAACAATGCAGGAATTGTTCTAGACAGAAGCGGAAGATTGAAAATTGGACCTGGCGATGTCGACCAATTGATAAGCACGATCAGTGGTGGTGCTGGTAGAAGTGGAGCAACGGCCGTCTATTTTAAGGTATGTTTGACAGTTTCGAAAATATGAAAGTGAAGTTATCTTCAGGAAAGTTTCTTGGATGTCAATTCATGTAACTTTTTCTTACACTTTTGGGTAACGTTATTTTTTTAATTTAATCATCTCGCTAAATTTGTAGGTTTGAAAATCTCAAAAAATAAATGAAAAGAAAGCCACCAAAAGGATTGAAACTATGAGTGCCTTCTTAGGTGACTAGAATAGCTATAAAATTATTGGGAATGAAACTTTTTTGAGTGACTGATCCTAAAATTTACAGTAAGCTCATGAACTCTCAAGCTAACCTCTTGAGCAATTCTTTCACTGGCCACGAAAATGTACAATTCTGACGAATACTCACATTTCCAGAGAGCTGTTCCCAGAGATAGGGTCAACACCACAGTAACAGCTCACCACATCATACCGCGAGCTGCGATCAGGGATGCAATTATATTCGCCCACCAGGACAATCCAGCCCGATTCAGAGAGGATCTTGAAGATTACATCAATCTGCCAGCAATCAGAGAAGTTATTGAAATTTATTTGCTAGACCCGGACAACGTTGACGCTGATGGCAACATTCCTCTTCGTACACCTGAAAGAGTTGGCCCAATTCTGTACATGGCATTGACGTGGTTACGAACCAATTTAGTTTATGGCCCCCAGCCTCATGAGCGCCGGGATGACCCGAGAAACGGCCTTGACAGACATTAAGGCCTTTCTGGCCTTAATGTGCAAACTCCTGAGTACCAGGAGGCTGCCAGAAGGGCATGGAATGCTGTTAACCCGAGAAATCGAGCTCGGAACTTCGGAGAATTTGTTAGAGCTGCAAGAGAATTGACCCAGCCAGAAGTAATATGGGTGCAGGATGAAAATGGCAGATACTATGCAACAGCAGCAGCAGCAATAGCTGCAGCAGCAACAGCAACCACAGCAGCCACATCAGCAACAACAGCAACAACCACAACAGCAGCATCAACAGCAGCAGCAGCAACGTAAGGTCCGCGGAGGTCGTAAGGTCCGCGGAGGTCGTAAGGTCCACGGAGGTCGTAAGGTCCACGGAGGTCGTAAGGTCCTTTTCCTTGGCTTGACCATCCTTTCCACTATCAGAAAGACATGTAGACATTCATTACACATAACATAAATATTTGTTGGTATGAAACTTTCATATACATTTCGTATTACATTACATATTTCAACTTTTAAAACTTATATTCCCCCGCCACAGAATCTGAGCTTATAGCATTATTGAAGAGGCTTCATGGATTATCTGGCGAGGCTGTTGTTTTTATTTTCCGAGAATGAATTTTCATTTATTGATCAGTGTTAAGATGCTAAAACATAGCGTACAGTTGATGCGCCCACTTCAAATATTTTGTGTTTAGACCTAGAAATTTTATACCAAGTTGAGAGTAGAAACAATTTCCATGTCGTTCATTCGTGAAAAAAAATAGAAAATTTGTCATAAAGTGAAAACGTTCGCACTCTGGAATTATTTACTATTAAATATGGGGATATTCAGCAACAAATGGCTTCCATATGCTTATGCTAAGGCGAGTAATTGTTTATGTAGTGAACTAAATTAGTTAAAACGTGTTAAAAATAAGAGAAATATACCCTTATGAATAGAAAGTCAACTTTGTTAGTCAAAGTTGACTAACAAACTCTATGCTAAGTCAACTAAGTCAGCTGCTGTTAAGTCAGAATGAAACTATTTTGGTATCTCACAAACTTTTATTTTGTACCTTATAAACAATTTTAGTATCATATAAACCTTTTTATTATGTTCCGAAAATAACAACGCAAACTGTCTTGGTTTTTGTTTGCTAAGTCTAACGCTGGAAGAGTTCAGGAATATTATACTTTATCTACGCTGATTATTACTTCTTTATCAGTGACATGTTATGAAGTTCATTTGCTTAATTACTTTATTTAAGAGTATAGTTGTATTTAAGTGCATAGTTGTATTTAAGTGCATAGTTTTATGTTGTATATTAAGGTGGGCAATTTTTTTCTAGATTATGACAACCTATGTACGTTTTCATACAGTTATGTTTCCTAAAACAAGATTTGTATGTATCGTCATTACTTTTATTCCTTATGGGCTTCTTAATTAATTTGATTAATTAAAGGAATTTAATTAATTTGTTTTCTTTATTTGTGCTTGTTTTAATTAATAATTTCAACTGCTCTACTCTACAACTTATTGATTAAATATATCACATGCACCATATAAGGAGGTCAAATTTAACATGATTATTCTGTGTTATGCCTGTAAATACCGTGAGCATAATAACACCGAGTTCATAATAATACCGTGACCATAACAATACCAAGATCATAATAATACCGTGACCATAATAATACCGTGACCATAATAATACCGTGACCATAATAATACCGAGATCATAATAATACCGTGACCATAATAATACCGTGACCATAATAATATATCACTTAGACCGGTAGCCTAATTCGACCCATCACTGCTGCTGGAAATGACCGCCCATGAATGTTGGGCCAAAGCAGTAAGATAAGATTTTTTTGAAATTGTGTCTGTACTCGTCAGACCCTCAGGGGACTTCTGACCTGTGTCGGTACACGGCAGACCCTCAGGGGGACTTCTGACGTATGTCTGTGCTCGTCAGACCCTCAGGGGGACGTATGACGTGTGTCTGTACCCGTCAGACCCTCAGGGGGACTTCTGACGCGTGTCTGTACTCGTCAGACCCTCAGGGGGACTTCTGACGCGTGTCTGTACTCGTCAGAAGTCCTATGGGACCTTGCGCTCCCAAGGGCAGTGTTCCTGAGCGCCCCACCACAGAGCGCTGACTGCAGGTCTCAGTTGTGGGAGATTTTTTTACACCAGTTGCCGAGTGCTGCGCTATGTGTAGGCTGGAGTGGTCACGTCACGCATGTATTTCTTAGTATTGTCAGAATTACCGGCATTGTTCACGTCTTCAAATCCTCGATCATAGTTGTATAGAATTTCTCAGTTGCTCTAATTATTTATAACTTGGCTATTGTAGGTTTGAACATTTTCAACCTTATTTTCATCTTCGTAGTGCACCCTCCAATTAAGTGTCGTTGTTCTCATCATCCTTTAAGTCGTCTTCACTTCGACGGTTATTATTCACTTACCATCATTCTTAACTAACTGCATCAACACAAATCACACAAATGATATTAATGTTATCATAACCATCTGAAATGTTTTGTGAACAATTTAATGTTGGGAATCTAACAAAGGTTGACTTTATCCAGTATATTTTTTTCACGACAGTTTCGGTACAATGCAAGCAGATTGCCTAAAGATGACGTGAAAGGTTTCAGTTCCTGACCATGGCATATAATCTGATAAAAAGAAAATAAATATTCTGTTAAGTTTATTTTAACGTTCTACACCTCTCACTTTGATGTCCCACATTGCATTTATTAAAATTTGAACCGCAGTATTCAGGATGACATGTAGGCATTCATTAAACATAACATAAATGTTTTTTGTTGTGAAATAAGTTTCTTCCATATACATTTCATAATACGTTAAAACTTCTAACACGTAGAAGATTCTCCCGGCCGCAGTACCAGAGCTTTCAGCATTGATGAGGAGGCTTCTTAGACGGATCTGGTGAGGCGGTTGTTTTTATTTTTCTTTTATTCGTGACATATCTTATCGTTGCTAGGTTGAGATAGCTCAGTTTGTTCGAAGTTTGAGAAAATTTAAAAGAATGATATAGTTTTAAGGAACTGAGATGCAAGGTTTCCTCTTTTTAGGAAACCCGGTATATAACTTTTAGCCTTCGGTGCCTATTTCAGCACCCATCAGTGATTTCCAATGTAATCGCCATCACTCCATCTTAGCGCTCACGGCTAGCTGCCTTTTCCGCGGCTTGACCATCCTTTTCATTTACAGAAACCCGCTGTTGGAAATGGCGGCCGAGATGCAGGCAAGTGATGTCCAGCTGAAGCTTGAGAATGGCACTTACTCTCTGATGAAAACACCGCTTGTTCTTGCGGTTGACCACTCCAACCAAGTTCATTTGCACAAGGATGGACCGAATCAAGATGTTATAAAATGTCTCCAAGGGCTGGATGATTGGTCAAGGGACAAAGTTCCCACCCAGAAACTGAAAGCATCCAGTTTCGGGGACTATGAGTTTTCGCTGGGAATTATCCACTCAAGACATTTTGAGTCGCGCGAGAAGCTGGACTCCCTGTACTCTCAGGAGTGGCAATATTCCGAACCTTTTGATCCGAACAAGAAAGTGGAGACGGTGGAAAAAATTACATTTCAGAAGGCCTTGGAACTTCTGACTGTGACGATCTCCTGCAACATGGACTATTATTTGGCAAATTACGAAGAAATGGAAAAAGATTTAGGACGAAAATTGGTCAATTTTGATCGAGATGACGAGAAATTAGTGAAAGGTTTGGAACAGGAGCTGTTCTACAACCAAGTTGTTAAGATTATCGGAGGAAGCGTGGATGATGACAGGGCAACCTCTTCAGTGATGCTCAAAAACTTCAGGAATTTGTTTTACGACGGGAATGACACGTTCGCTACAGCAGAACATGGAGAACATTACCTCATCTTCCACCATCTTACTTCATAGTGAGGTTGACGTTCATAAACTTGTATGCGGCCGAATTGCCAAACAGGCCTTTTTTTCAGCAAATTTGACGATTAGGGCCTTTTTTTCAACAGCGTTCGCCGGCAAAAATCTGCGTTGGCCTTAAATTTGTAAACGTAAATGTATAAAAACCCAGAAAAAATTTATTAGAGCATTTAAAATTACAAAATTACTGATATGTTTTAGCCATTTTAGGAGCAAATTTGGCCGTTTTCTCTTGCCACTGTATGGCTACCCTGGTACGTGAATCACTGTAATGCGGAACTAGATCCCGAAAAAGTTTTTTACTGTCGCCAGTTGTTAGCTTGTTGAATTGATTTCTTATTTCTTTAATGAACTTACTACATATATTTATCCTATCATGTTTACAGATATTAAGCGAAAAGCTTCTTTCGTTTTTGAATCCCTCGTATGATATTCTTTAGCTCGGAAAACTTGCAATGGATTCGTGGACGATTAAAATTTGGCAAAAATCAGTGTCAATAATCCCTAATTCCTTCCATTTTGACGAAAAATCGGAGCAATATATATCAGAAATGTGAAATTTCAATTGCGCCCAAACTGTCCTTGTCTCCAAGGGGAAATAGTTCTTGGCAATAATTTGCATCACTCTGATGCCATCTCTTTCTCTGATAAGCATAACTTACCCAATTTTCCTTTAGATTTTAGAATTATTCGGTTATACGTTAACCTAAACTTAGAAACGGCACTTCTTTAACGAAATTTCAAAACTCGCTTATTTGCTGCTTAGTTATTCATTGCTTAACAACAATTATCAGTAATACACAAGTGGAAATAATAAATAAACAAAACTTTTCCGAATTAATTTTGATTACCATCTAATTATCAACGTTCCTAGCTAACGAGTGGCCATAGTAACTGTAATATTTATCGTTCATTAGACCAAATGTGGCCTGTTGCCGATTCTTGACATCGCAAAATTTGCAAAGTTGTCGGTGGTTTCGAACCCACAACTCACTACTCCAATTTTACTGTTCTCAACCACCCAGCCACTTCGCCGACTTTAACCAGAACTGACGCAGGTAGCTGTGATCGAACTCGCAAATTACTGCTCCAATCCAGATTCCAACCACCATTATATACTCTACTCTGAACTACAACCACTGGGCTTCACTGCCCAGGTTCAAGTCACAATTTTTAGCCCAAAATCTACAAACGAATTATCAAATTTTTAACTTTGAGATGAAAAGGCCCACGAAGTAAACCATATTGTATGCATTTAATCGAAAGCTGTATTTTCTAGAGAAAGAATAGACATGCCAAGTCTCCACGATGGTAAGATGGAAGATACAATTTAAAGTGCAGAATGAAGTTCCTGAAATTTCCAAAAGCCACCATCAAATTTTTAACACAGGCCACCCACACGCGCTTGTGATTTTTACGATAAATATATTTTGGGCGTGGAGTTAACGAATCGTATTAGTAGCATCCATTCCCCTAGTTCGTGAATAATCAATTGTTGATGCAAGATTATTTATCGTGCCATCAGTGTGTTCTGTTGATTTTTCCCAGTTTTCAATTCGATGTAAAATTCTCACTTACCTACACGTTTCCGTTACCTCTAATTATTTATCCTCAAAAAAACGATGGCTTGCTCGTCCTTCTTAGTTTTACAGCATTAGACTATCATGTAGGGGCGCTAATTCCTTCGTCGGTGCAGCGCCATGTCTTGAATAAGTAACTCTCTAGAAGCGCTAATATGTGAGGAATTCCTCATTTCTCACCGACAATTTGCATTAAGCTAGGGTTTGTTTATAAGATATATTAGTACCTGAATCATCTTATATGTTGAATCCACTTCTCTAACTTTAGCAGAAGAATAAGTATTAGTCTACGTCGGGTGTTCTACCGCGGGCTTAGAGCATCAGCAGTCCCGCGGGCAACAGTCCTCATCAGCACCAGCTATCGATTGTATCGAATTATACGAGCCGCCAATGACAACCTAGTGGGTTCAAATCTCGGTTCAAAAGATTGTCATTTCTTCAGTTATCATTGCCGATTGCCAGTTATATCAGCCATTTTAACCGATTGATAAGTTACCAGCATCAACGTCCAAGTATTTCTACCATCTTGCTATAAACCAGTTTCTCAATCCCTTGGTTTGTATGAATGTCGTATGAATTTCGTTTTGTTTATTTTTTGCTCTATTAAATTTATTTAATTTATCTGTAAGGAAGTTGGACTTTGATTAACGCTTACAATTCAAATTAATTCGAATGCAAACTTTCATGTTGTAAATTTATTCATTACTTATTACAAATCAAATCAATCTATTCAAATTTTTTAGTGTTCTTTGTTCAAGAAGACTTTCTGTATTACGTCACCTGCAAAGATCACTATCACAACCTTAGCTTTAAGTCTGTATCTCAAATTTTCAAATCTTCAAAACCTTCTACTGTTCTTGCTATTTTTTCCCGTCCAACTTCCCCCCCCCCAAAAAACTGATTTAAGCTATTTTCATCCAATTATTCTTTCTTCATGTAGTGATCACCACACCTTACTGGGGAAATGTAAGCATACTGACTCTAAAATATTTAAAAGAGGTGCACGAACAAAAATAACAGCAAACTAAGAAGTGAATGTTCATATCAGATTTTGTATGCACGGAAATACAATCTATCGAAGCTAGATATTGGAGCTGTATTCATTAAAATATGGTGTTACAAACACGTGATCCAAGTAGTGTAATTTTGGGTATTAAATTCACCCCTTGGTTAGGGCCAAATGAGATGGAATAAGTCCATTTAGCGGTATATAACTAACTGCCTCTCTTAATTTGCTGTCCTCCACAGGCATTATTTCGCTAATTACTCTAGTCTGTTCAAGCAGCAACAGGCTAAACTTCTTTTCCTCGCGTGTAAATATCCGAAATTATTCGGGCATTAAATCACACGTTGACTGAAAATTGTGTCACCAGTCTGATCAGTTCTGACAACTAGCTCAGTAAGGTAAATTGAATTGAATGCTTTTTCATTCAAATTGCCTGGCAATGCATATAACGGTTTAATCGCAAACTTTGAATCACGCCGAATTAAGAAAGAATTTATTAATAAATGAGAGTATTTAAAACATAAATGAAAGCATGTGATGGAATAAAGTCATTTTAATAATTCATCAATTTGAAGAACCCTGGATCACGAAATACCTCTGAATGTACTGTACAGTAGTTTAAACAATATTCATCTTCATTTTGGCTTGACATCATCAATTGAACAGAAATATTAGAAGACGTTGGTCTTCCTGCGCAGGCTTATATCGGCGGCGAGCTAGAACCCAACAATCCTGGAGTGGAGAACTGCCTGGAGCTGAGCTGCGCGTGGATGTACCGCTTCAGCAGCACGCTGTGCAGTAACGTGCGACGGGTGATATGTGAGGCAGACCCCATCTAGAGGAGTGACCTTTTTGCCCCATCTAGAGTGCTTTTGAGGCCCATCTAGCAAAGTGTTATGTCCCATCTAGAGGAATGTTATTTGTGGCCCATTTATAGGAGTGTTTATTTTGTCCCATTTAGAGGAATGTGGTTTCTGACCCATCTAGAGGAGTGTTGTTCATGTCCCATCTAGAGGAATGCCGTTTATGCCCTGTCTAGAGAAGTGTTGGAGCATAGTTTCTGCCTCTTCCAGACGAGTTTCATTATTGTCCTCTCTAGGAGAGTTCCATCAATGTCCAATCTACAGGATTGTTATAATGTATACGATACGATAGTGGGACTAGGGATAGCTAATCCTCGAGATATGTGAACCCATTTAATAATTCTCGAAATTTACTAATTTCAAACCTACCTTTAGCTGAGAAGCCATGATTATAAGACTTTTGGGAAATGTCAAGGAAATTGTCATTGCCAATGTTGTAAACAAAATTAGAATTTACTGAGTTAGTAAAAAATCGAGTTGAGCATAAGCAGCGTTCAATATGCGTAGGAGTCACCAACTTAGACCACTTTATTGCGTAATTTTGGTAATTCTCGCGAATTCCTTTGTATAAAGCTTTCGATTATTGAGTGGTCATTTGCGAAAATGAAAATTGGAAGAGATGAAACGCGAGTGGCAGTTACACAATCGAAAAAGTTAGTTGGTTCTTTCAAACTCTACATAAAAGAGCTGCTAAGTCTGAGTTATCTGAGACTGGCAGATCGCTTTAAAATCTGAGCTCACGTAGTAAATCGGCCCTCACCAGCCCCTGGTCTCGTAATCACTTCAGAGACATAATTGTGGCTAACAGGCCCCAGCATCTAGAATATTGTTCTCGAGAAAAGGGGCGGCTTTTAGGTGGCCAGTGAATAGCCAGCGGGCGGCCGGAGCTAACATGCTCCGGGCGAACGCTGGCCACTTACGGTCCTGTGAGGAGGGGAGGGACAAAATCCACTAGACAACGCAAGGCGAGTAATTTATGAGATTTGTGGTTCCCTCCTAAATCACTTGGCATATATTGACTACTCCATTGCACGATACCGGAAGCCGGAATCGTGCCTTAAGCTGCGAAATTTTCACACTTTATTTGGGTTCGTGTGTTGTAGCTACTATAAAATTTTGATTCATAAATTCATGGTACGTGTGCATCGCGAAAATAGTTTGAATGTGGCTCACTTCACGAACATCGGTGGGCAAAATTTATCAGTTATAATATAAAGTTTAAGTAATTTCTCAATGTTCACGCTTTGTAAATAAATTGCTGGAAAAGCATCCGAATTTTCAAACCGATATCTTATTTGCGAGTGGAGTTACAGCAACTGAACCCAGTGAAGAACTCCCATAGTCGAGAACTCGGCGGACAGTGGCTGATGCAGCGTTTCAGTGATTTCTGGAAGTATATACCGTGAGCCTTTGACGAACTTAGGCACTCCATGGAGGAATTGTCTCGAAATTTGAACGCAAAGAAAATTACACAAATTTCAACATTTCTTTCGGACTCTCTTTTCGGAAAATATTTCGGACTCTAGCTTTATCGTCAGTTCGAAAATTTTTGGGAGACACTTAAAATAAGTTGGAACTATAATCGAAATTCCAAACGGAAGTTGAAAACTAAATTTACAAATAAATAGCGAAGTAAAACAGAAAAAAATTTGAAGTGGATAAGAGCTATAGGGTGCATTCAAACTAGACCTCTGTTTACAAATATACGAGTGTTATAAAATACGCAAATCCGAAGCTGAAGTAGAATTTAAAATCTTGAAATCAGTATCGTATGTATATTGACACGTGACACTGCTCGGCGTGAGTGCTCATGGCCGAATGAGGGGGACGAGCTAGTGAGTGGCAAGTTCTAAAACTCTTTCCTTTATGCTTCATAGAAGTGCAATAAAAATTGTGTGCGGCTCACACATAATGAATGAGGCATGAGTAACTGTCCTGCTCCAGTATGGTTCCCTACTTTTTCCACTACACCCGGCATGGTCAAGCCTCCAAATTTATCTTCTACCTCGTCCATATTTCAGACTGAGCACTCATGAAAATTGCAAGTATAAATCGATTCAAATGAAAATGCTGGCAAACATTTTTGTTCGCAAAACTTGAGGTTAGGTTTGAACAAGAACAAGTTATGTTGAGTATTTTAGCTTCGGGAATTCAAGCGCGCAATCACTAGCTGAGTCAAACTTTGAGCAATCGTCAATTGAACGTTGAGCAAATTGCAGTGATCAGTCGTGATCGATTTTCATGTCGCTGCCTCCGACGTAAATTAATCTGTTTATCTCAATGTGTGAAAAACAATCCTAAAATAATTAATATAGATAATTATTTGTTGAAAGCGACACACTACTGCATCAA